GGATTTCATCTCCAAATACTTGCTAACTACTAAGTGCATTGGATTTTTATTCATTATTCATTGATTCCTAATATAAATAGAATTTATGATCAAAAGACTAATCCTTTAGTAAAACAAGTTCTTAGTTCATTGATCAAGTGGACAAACAAAAAAGCATACTAGTGTTAAGTTCAGTTTATGCTAGACTTGAACTAGTGAATGACTTTAATGGTTAATAAAATCAATTCAATACATGAATGATCATCATATATTAGATTTCACATTAATTTACCAACTTTTCAATTTAATCCCAGGTTTTTTTTTCAAAACTCTAGTCTTATAACTTTGATGATTACAAATTCATAAGATACAAGCATACCAAAATAGATTTATCATCTAATCTTAGTAAAACTCGGCAATAAACACAAAAAGTAGTTATCGTTAACACAAAAAGGTTCTATATCAAGCTATCATAACAAATAAATAAGAATAAATAATCAGAGTAACAAATGAATCCCTAATATCAATGATTGATCTAGTCATAAACACAAAGAAAAGAGTTTTAACACCCTAATTCAGAAAGTAAAAAACAGATAGAAACTATTGGAATGCTAATCATGGTCAGAAAAGCAAACCGCATGATTCCTGACATGAATCCGCTCTCGAATCCTTAATATCTTCGCTCTATATTAGCTTAACGCGGCTCTTCGGCCGCCTTCCATACCCTCAAAATGACACTTCTAGGGTTTATTTATGTAGGGAACATATTAGGGTTGAAGATATGTCCTTGGGGTTAATTTTCGGCTTAGCTGCCACACTGTTGGAGATGGTTTCTTCGCGTCCATGAAATTTTCCGAATTTGCATGCCAAGGAAACGCTTTGCCACGGAGTGGGAATTGGGAATCAGGATTTTCTCAAAACACAAAAGTTGTGTGAAATTTTGTCTAGTTACGATTCATGAGATATGGTCAAAACACTAACAAGAGATCAATCTACCATCAATATCCTTTTTGCGTCTTTTCAGCTCTGGTCTCCTCTTTTTGCATCCAAGCTCCGATTTTAACTGTAACTGAACATTTCAAAGCATATTAAGTATCTTATATCTTTAAATATAACATTTTTACTCAAATATATTAAGATAATAAAATACATAGTTAAATAACGCTATATCAATCACATTATGTATTAAGATTCAAAGAATAGGAACTTATGGAGTTAGATAATGGGTGTACCTAAAGTAGACTCACCCGAACTGACTTTACCATCTTCAAGATCCTTCAGGTATTTTGGGCAGCTTCGCTTCCAATGTCCCTTCAATTGGCAGTAGAAACAAATGGACTCATTGGGGTTAACATTTGGAACGATCTCAGAATGAGCCTTTCTCTTTGCCACACGATCAAACGGTTTGACCTTGGCCGATTCCTTTCGAATGGAAAGAGAAAAATTTTCTTGATCACCAATGTTACCATTTGTAGTTCGTATGAATCGAGTGTTAAGAACAAAATCAGAGTACATAATGAATTAAGAACAAAGATCTAAATATAATCTGTTTGGGTCTTTGATTATGTCTGTAGGAGTATAGAAGTTCTGAAAGAGTAAAGTGCTCTTGTTCTCACAAGAATACAAAAGTTACCCTCACTCCTATACTTACCCATATTTATAGGGACATACATACATGTACAAAAAAACATAAGGCCTATACATTCGAGCTCGACTCTAACAATGCCTTATTTAATAGATACATTCGAAATACATTACAACTATTTCAAAACAAACAGGCCTAAGTATACTTCCACACCTCACTATTAACTTCGAACTCTACATTCTCCCCCTTAGTGAGAAGTGTCGAATCTATGTCATTAACATCTTTGTGGCCTGGTGAAGTACTCGACGAACCTCCGTATACCAGACAATCGTCTTTCGGATCTCATCCCTATCTCCTGTTGTATTCCTCTTGCAACTATTAAGACGAACAAGAAGACTCGTATACTGAGAGTCCGTATACCTCTCCACATCACAAACTTGGAATAGAAACTTTGTTATCTTATTGTCCTTGTTCTTTACAATAAATACAACACCTAGAGCTTAGTGAACTATCTCCCCATCCTTGTAGTTCTTGAGACTACCTGGTCCTTTCAACAATGACTGTGGCACGATCACAGTTTTATTCATTGCCAAAGCAAGCTCGACATCTGTCATATCTAAACACACATAGTAATTGTCTATGAATATTTTGATATGAGCAAAACCAAGTAAGAAATCTTCTTTGTTGTTAACTTGAAGTTTTGACACATCGACAAAGCTTAATATTTTTGCCACATTGATGAGATCGATGAGGTTCATAAGAGGAAAATCTGCCACCAAGAAGTCACAAGCAACATTGTTTTCTCTGACCACAAAGTATCGAAAATTCTATAGCAGGCCTTTGAACAGAGTATCTTTGGAAATGTTCAACACCTTGACAATTTTTACCAAAGACCATACTTCATCTTCCTTCTTTCCCAAAATAGCATGAAACCTCAATTTCAATCACTTATACTCATCTTTATCTTCGAACTTATCAATCAATTGATACTGAGCAGAAGCAAACATCATACGATTAATCGGAAAATGAAGCTGATTAAAATTAGTATTTTCGATCTCATAACTTCTCTTTGAAATCTTCTCAAAATCATGCATATTCTCAGAAGAAACAATTTGTTCAATAGTCTCATAACAATACTACTTACTTTGATCACCTTTGTTTAAACCAGGAGGATCACCTTGCTGTAACATCCCAAAATCCAGGACCAAAAATTTCGTTTTAATTAAGTTATTACATAAAACCATCAGTATAAAAACATTCATAATAATATCTCGTGTCAAACCAAAGTGTCAGTAATCAAAACATGTTATCATAAAATAATATCAGAGTGTAATCCCAATGATCTCATGTGCGGAAAATATAGTGTGATGCGCTACGATCGAGCCGACTCCTTTCCTTTGAAATTGAAGTACCTGAAACCAAAACTAAAAACCGTAAGCACGAAGCTTAGTGAGTTCCCCCCATCATACCACATACCATACGACACACATACTGCCAAGTATATCTGGGTGTTGGCCTACCCCTTCGGTATCTTTCAACCGGTATCCGGGGATTGTTTCACCCCTATCACTACCACATAATAACATAGCATAACATACATAAAAATACTGTCAGACATATCTTGGTGCCCGACCTACCCCCTTTGGTATCTTTCAACCGGTAACCGGGAGCTAACCTGCCCTTCGGTATCTTTCAACCGGTAACCGAGAGCTAACCTCCCCTTCGGTATCTTTCAACCGGTAACCGGGGACTATTTCACCCCGTACCACTACCACATAATAACATAACATAACGTACTGCTAGGCATGCATGGGTTCTGACGACCCCTTCGGTATCTTTCAACCGATATCTGGGGATTATGTCACCCCTACTACTACTAGCACATATAACAGAGCATCCTAGCACATAGAGCATATTAGATAGTTGCAAACTAGACAATTATCACAAAGACAATCATCTCATACATAGTCACCTACTAGTAGGCCGGTATTGGTGCCTTAGACCCACCTCTACTGGAAGGGAACTCACCTCACACTGCTAAAGTCCCGCAGACACAACCCCAACTGCTGGATGACAGATTCCCGATCTGTCAATATCAAAACATCACCCAATTAATAATTGGGTCCCAACACATAACCATAAGTTCTTGGAGTAACAGGCTACATTACGCCCATCTAGGCTTGATTCAAGCACAAGGCCCAATCCAAAGGCCCAAAAGTCAAACTAGGAATCAAAGTCCAACATATGGCCCAATTTTCCAAATTAGGCCCAAACCTTTACATGTCTTATTCAAAGGCCCAACCAAAAAGTCCAGTCCAACATTTGGTATTTCTAATTGCCCAATATCTCGAAATCATGAAGGCCCAAACTATGGCCCATCTATGGCCCAATTTTCCAAATTGGGCCCACACCCTCATATGGGCCTTACCCTAAGCCCATCAACATATTCTAATCCATATGATTAATCCTGGATGGCCCATTAATAATCCAATTACCAAAGCCCAATGGAAAGGCCCAACTCAAGGCCCAAGTGAAATTATGGTTTCACATAAAATGATGATTAGGGTTAAGTGTCCCTACTTAACCCATTAAGGACTTAATCCATTAAGTCCCACATGGCCTTAGGTTAATTGCAAATGGTTATTAATTAGTATTTTAATTTAATAAACGATTCTAGAGCGGGTCCCGATTGATCCAAAGCCCATGTATCCAAAATTAGGGTATTCTAAACCCTAATTAGGGTTTCCAACCCATTCATGGCCCAATAGGCCCCAAACCAAGTCCTTAAGCCCATTAGGGTTTCCTTACGTCAATTAGGGTTTATTAGACCCATTAGGGTTTCACTAGGCCCATTACTCACATGTTTAGGATTTTAAGTCAATTAGGGCTTCATTGGGCCCATTAGGGTTTCATTGAGCCCATTAGGGTTTCAGTCCCTTGTCCAAACATCCCAAACGAATCACAATACAAACGAGGCACACCGCCACCCGACACGGCGGCCAGTGGCGCCAGGAGGCTGCAGCCACCACCCTACGGTGGTGGTTTGAGTTTTCATTTCATTATTCCGACACTATTACATATTACAACAAAAATCTTGGAAACACACACACACACACACTCACTAACATAAACATACACACACAGCCAAACTAATGGTGGCTAGTGGTAGTGCATGGCGGCAGCCACCATGGTTGGCTGTCATGGTGGTTACCGGCCAAAAAGCGCACCCTCCCTTGTTCAGAAACACCAAACTACGCAAACTCTTGAGCTGAACATGAAAATAAACACACCCATCGGAATCTTGTGGCGGTAGGCGGCGGTACATGGCGACGGTAGTGGTGGTCGGAAGGCTGAAAACTCTAGAAAGAGGGGAGAAGAGAGAGGTATAGTTGCAGACGCTACACATACACACACGGAGCATACACCACGCAGCCATTCACTTTCGGTGGTATACGCTAGCCGAAATAAATGAGCCACCGATCGAAGCGGCGGCGGCGCGAGACAACACCACATAAGAGGAAATGGAGAGGGTGGGGACACCATTACTGGAGGGAGGAACGATGACCACGAGCTTCCATCTTCCAGCAACTCCCAGCTCGTCGTCAAACAGTGTTTCACAACGTCGTTGGCAGCGGATTGCGGCGGCGATGCTCGGCTCTTGATGGTTTACGATATCGCCGGCGGAGGGAGCGACGACTAGAACGAGGGGGAGGGATATAAGGTGGTTTGGCGCCGGACTTGGTTGAGAGGTGAAGATGGCGGCTGGAATGTTTGGCTTAGGGTTAGGGTTCTAGGAACATGGTGACGGGTTTATAGTCCCGTAACCAAGCCAACTTCTTTCCATGTTCACACAATTAGTCCCTCCTTCTCCCTATTTTTTCAAAACAGATCCAAGAGTTACCCTTTTAACCCTTGCCTTCAAAACTCTTTACAAATTGAGTAAAGAATTTACTCTTTAGCCCCTTACTCCATAAAATCCTTTATAAACTAATCCGAAAACTATATTTTAACCCCCCTAAACTTCCAATTTATATCATTTGGCTCCCCTAAACCAACACCCAGCTAACTATTATGGATTTTAGGGCTACGATTCATATTAATTTTATCTATTTTATTTATTTACTAAACGGGGTGTTACACTTGCCTTTTTTGCAGTATGCTATTTATCTGTCTTTGCTTTTCTATCTCCTTCTCTACAGCTTTCTTCTTTTCTTCTTCTATAGGGTTGACCTTGCACCTTGTCCTATGACAATGCCTTTGTTCAGAGGTCTTGAAGTTGTTGTAGTCGAAGTTGTCGTTAAAGAAACAGGAAGTGATATCAGAATTTGTGTTGTAATCACCTTCCCTACAAATTTTCCTTGATCTGAATTCTTCGAAGCGCCAACCCCCCTATCTTCCCCTTGCACCACTGGTTTGACTGGTGGGGCATTCGTTGGCATGACATGAACGAACTTAAGAAGAGGAGCAAGTTTGGCTTTGAGATTTGCTTCAAGAGAAGAAATTATCGTCAAAATAGACTCGATAGAAAAAGTGGATTGTTGAGAAAGATCAACCTTTGACTTGGACTCCTTCAAGCTACCCCAGAGCTCATCTAGCTTGGAAAACACCTTCGAATCAGATCCATTCTTGACATCAAGATTAGTAGAAAATGTAGTGTTGTACTCCACACGCTTCATTATGGCTTCAGCAAGTACATCAACCTTTGCATGAAAAATAGAGTTCTTACTTTTAATATTTGCAACCTCCGTCGACATTTCTGATTTGAGCTCTGCCATTTTGAGATTGACAAACTCCTGCACCTTCTTCACTTCATTGACAAAAAGAATACGTTGTTCTTTGGCTACATCACGAAACTTGATTACCTCATATTGAAAATTTTCAACATGAAGTTTTAAACTGTCTTCATACTTTTTCTCAGCTTGGTCCAGAGCAATTTTCAAACGATGTTCTTGTGACTTAAGCATCACATCCACCTCAATCCCAGAGACTAAATGTCAACCCCCTGTATCTACCTGAATTTGCAACAACTAATTCAACTTGTTGTTCAAAATCTTAAATTGTTTTCCAGACGTAGGCATGTGATCTGGAATGTTATCTTCTTCTGGGTCGAACTGTATATCAGCAAATGAGACCATCACATTATCATCATCCTGATCATCTTCTTGAGGTGACTTTTCCCCTTCAGTGGATTATGAAGAGAACATTGAAGTAATAGATTGTTGCATGATGGTGGACAAAGTGGGTGAGATGGTATAGGTAGGTAACGAAGATGGAATTGGAGAAACGAATGATGGTAAAGAAATTGAAGTATCGATAATGGATGTTTTGATGGTAGAAGATAAAATGAGTGTGGTAGGAATACATGAAGTATAAATAGAAGTTGTACCTTGAGCTTCAGAATTCGTCACCCCTTTACCCTTGTTGATATTTGTGTCCATATTAGATATGTATACAGTGATGCCTTAGGTTCGAACCTCCTCTGAAAGAGATTCAGTTATCGATACCTCGGGTGGTATGACCACTGTCTTCTCAAGGACGGTAGCTGATGTAGGATCACCCAAATTAGTGGTTGTGACCGTATTAGATACTTTCACAGAGCCACCAAGACTTCCAGTCTCCTCGAAATTTGACTTAACTAGAGTGTCCCTTTGTGGTGCCTCGAAGCCAATATCTTCATTTCCAGTGGGGGATCGATCACTTTCACTGTCAAAATTTGTTTCCATAACAACTTCATCAAGAGGATCTTCCAACTGCTTCTTCTTATTCTTAATCTTTTTCACCACTTCATGTTCTTTTCGTTTCTTCGAAACTGGTGAAACTAGATCTGGAACATCACAAATTCGAACACCCCTTCGAATGAGTTGGGGTTTTCGATTTTCCTGATCTTTACAACAGAATCATCTTTTGTTGGTTCCTCAGAAGCGTCGTGAGTAAATGGTGGTTTAAAAGAGTGTCGTGGATGATGTGCAGGCTTCTTAGTACGTTTCAGAATACCCGTCTTCGATGGAATAACTTCCTTCGAAACTTCCTTTGCAACATTTTCTTTAACCGGCTTGGTAACCTTCGTCTCGATTGGCACTTGAATTGTTTTCGTTTGTTTATACTTCTTTGTTTTCTTTGAACCTTTACCGACCTTCGAGGTTCCTTCTACTCCTGTTGGCAAAAAAACCCCTACTTGTACATCAGGATCAATTGCTGACAAATAAGCAACAAGAATAGGATTAGTCGGAGCCACCTTTCGTAACATGGCATCTGGAATTCATGCCACAGAAGGAAATAAGTCAGGATCATCTTCAAAAATTTTAGGAAGCTAATAGACGGAAAACTCCTCCTTCGCAACATCCACTTGTACCATGATTCCTTCTTTCTCATAAACGTCTTGAAGGATTAAGCTCCAATACCTCGCACAGGATACACCATTTTGAACGTTGGTATGGGAAATACTTGTTCCGAACTCCTCCCACAATTAAGTAACATAATCCACATTGAGATCATAGTATAGCCCTGTAATCATGGCATATACTTCCAATTTTTCTTTGTCAAGCCCAAGGCTACGACCTGTTAAACACCTAAGAAAAATCCCAAACATTAAATTCCAGATACAAGGTAATGCAGCCTTACGAAAGTGACTTATGTCAATGAGTGGGGATTGATGACCCATCTCATTGAACATATGAACAATCTGCTCATTGGTAACTTCGTAAAACGGACCTGTATTTGGAATTTTCAGAATTTGTGCAAACTGTTTTTTAGTAAGTTTTTACTTTTTATCATTCGTAAGTTGAAACGTGACCAATTTTGATGTCTTATTGAACACATTAGTAGAACCAGCCAATGATAACCAAGTCATTGGTACTGAGAAGGAAGCAGACATTACGGTTGCAAGAACACAATGATTAAGAGCAATAATCATCATCTTCAATTCTTCAGGATACTTCGAAACATCCGGTTGAATAAGGAAGTTTGAACTCTAAATCTTCATCAACGGTTGATATGATGCTTCTTCATTTGTGTTTAATGGATCAACGTGATCAGTTGGTTCCGCCATTGTTAGGGTTTTGAAGATTTTTTAGAAAACGATTTGGGGAAAGTTATACCATATTGTGTAAAGTCTGTAATATTGACCACCAAAATCTTTTGATATACCAAGGAAAAATTTGAATTTGAATTGTCCACCATTAAAAATCAGCCACGTGTAGTCTTGGAAAGTGAGTCAGCTTCCGTTAAAATCGCCACGTCTAAAAAGTAATGATCACTTTTCCCTAGAAAACCGGGAAAGAATATAACCGGCACATCAGCATACGTTTCGTGTGCTCCAAGAAGATAAGAACCGTAACTTCACCTTCGTTATGACATTAGAATTCGTTGTTCGCAAGAGAACACTTTGACCTTCGCTTCGAGGTAAGGTTCATTCTCTTTTGGGACGATAAATCATACCCAGACTTGTGAAATCTAGGTTTGAGTTGGTATTACCCAAGACCTCGAGGATTTCAGTGAAAATGTGTGCCAAAGAAATAGCGAGAACCAAAATAAAGGAAATGTGTGTGTAGTGACATCAAATAAGCATTCGATGTAAGGCAATTGGATCTCGGGCAAAGATCACTTCATTCGACATCAAGAGAGATATCGAACTGCTTGTGTGGTTTCCCGTAAAGTATAATCGAATACTCGTGAAGGAGTATCAAAGGGCTTCTTTTACTTAGGCTTCGAAGGTAGACTCAATTTTGTCCAAAACCACAACTTAACATAAGTGTGAGTAGAATGAACAAAATTACTTGTATGACCGGTGTATTCAGGAACAAACGAGGTTTAGAATATATTTCAAAGTGACTAAGATTCAAAAAGATATTCATACGGACACCATATTCCAAAAATAAAAGTTGGATCTTGTTGGGCAAAAATGTCTTAGTGAAAGAACATTTTATCAAGACCACGCATAACGAAAGGAATACGATTTTGAACATCGAATGATCGTACAAAAACAAATGTTTCATGAAAATCTTGAACAAAGTTCACCGTCAATTTCTTATATGTTTGGATTGTAGGGTTTCACCATCATCACGGAAAAATGAATCAGGATCATTAACACAAATTTGTGCAATATCTACATTCTGGTTGGTTTCTACCAGAGATGTCGAGGATATGCAAGTGATGTGTGTGATTCGTGAAGAACATTTTTTTGTGAAAAAGGTTGTGTAAGAAACCACTGTGTACCTCTTCGAATTATATTGACTTTGCAGAAACCTCTTAGCTCAATATGAGAAGAGAAAGGTAGCTCTTCGACTAATGTGAATAAATGTAACGCCCGGGTTTCGGGGCTAAGCATTTTTAGACGATGTAATAGTCTAGGTCAACTATTGTAACTCTTTTGATGTAATAAAAATGAAATATTTGAGTATTTTGTGAATTTATGTGCTTATTATTTAATTATAAATGTATAATTAATAAAGAATAAAAATAAGCGTCAAAATTAAAATATGAGATAAGCCCGATATCTTTACATAAAGTTGTAGTGGTTGAAACAAGGATTTCGGGAATATAAAGAACGCCGAAATCCGATTTATAACGAAGAAGTTATGACCCGCCGAAGTTTTACGGCAAAACCGACACGACACCGGGAAGCGTAAATAGTGAATTTACGATGGAGCGACTTTTAGCCTTAGTGATCTAAACCAAAGTTGTAGTATATGTTAAACCAAGAAAATCCATAAAAAGAACGCCCAAATCTGACTTCGTATGAGGAAGTTATGATTTTTCAAAGTTTCGGCTTAGCAGTGTACAACTCGAAACTCGAATTTTAGTTCGAGCGATTTTTGGCTTACGCGACCTAAATGAGAGTTGAAGATATCATTAATAAGAACTCAACGGTAAAAAGACAGACGAAAACGGATTCCGTATGAAGGAGTTACGAATTCTTCGTAGTCATTTAGCAGTCTAATCTCCTCCTACTGTTAAATTTAAGATCGGCCGAGAATTAGCCGATAGAGTCTAAATGAAAGTAGTGGAGCAGGTAGTGGAGCACTAAGCAAGTAGTGGAGCAGGTAGTGGAGCACTAAGCAATTAGTGGAGCAGGTAGTGGAGCACTAAGCAGGTAGTGGAGCACTAGTGGAGCACCCAGAGCACTATAAATTGAGGCTCGGGGCTGCCTCATTCTTCACACCTTCAACCCATACTTTCACTCTCTATACTCTCTCTATCCATTCAAGCTGAAGCTCTGCCCGCAAGAAGCCCGGTTTTAAGAAAAACTCGCTGTTTTATCAAGGGATAATTGTTTTTGAGAAAAACCCGCTGTAAGTAAGGTACGCCTACAGAATTTTTAATATAACTTTTAAATAATTATAGTAATGTTATTAGGTCCTTAAAATAATTATTTGGGCTATTATTATTTACATATTGAGTGTTATTTAACGCTTATATAATAATAATAATAGCTAGACTATTAATTAGTCACGGTTAACGTTAAAACTAAACTCTAGTGGTATTAATACTAGGTTTTGGTTAAGGAAAAATTGTTTTGAGATAACGAAGTGCTGTTCAAATACCGAGTCACCACCTAATCAGGTGAGTGCATAGTTACTTTCATCTTACACATAGATATGAAGTATTTTATATTAATTACGTGCTATGTGTGCATATTATCTGAATACTTGCTGCCTATGCTGATGAAAGATTTTTA